AAAGACGTTGTGAGATGAAAAACAGCAATGCTTATCTGCCCATCACACTGAGAGTTTAACTAGGTTATCAGCAGCAACTAGATAAGCCTATGACATCTGACTCAAAACGGGTGTTTTCAAAGTTCAGGTGAACCTGTAGCATATACAGGCCTGACATTGTTGTCAAGCCATCAGACTTTGATTTGCAGTTTCCATACTGAAACACTGAAGGTACTGAAAAGCCCTGAAAAGGACAAGTTGAAATCCTCTTGGGTGTGTGAGTGTCTTGCCGTCTGATAATAAAGAAGCAGATAAAGCTGAGGTAACAGCGATAGAGCAGAAAAAGGATTAAAAAAATGTTTTCTGCTGGACTATAACTGAAGACAGACAATGAAAAATGAATTTTCACTGGAGTGAAAGTTTTCAAAGTTATGCTGTTACTTTTTATGTGAATTTTATTTTTGTATCACAGCAATTTGTGCTGCACCATGCCTGAACTTTCTTTCTGTTAGCCCGCATGAAAAGGGTTTCTAGGGTCCAGTCATTACGGGATGCCAGCTGAAGTTGAAAGCAAGGTCAAACTGCAAAAATAAACACTCTCAGTTCCTTGTGTGTAATTCCAATAAATTAGTCATTTTAGTATTCTATAGTAAGCACAGGTTGTAAGTCAGGACCACACTCTAGATGGGACACTTATCTATCTCATACACATAGAGGGACAATCTAGAAAACTCTCACTCATAATCCATATTTTATTTAATCGAAAACTACCGTGGAATAATACCTCAGAAATATTAACAGACAAGATGAGCCTCAATGTGATATTCTAGTAACCCCCGCCCCAAATGGACTGCTCCAGTGACCTTTCGCCTTTCCACTTTCCCCTCATGTTCACTTTGTCACCCTATAAAAAGTGGGGACACGTCCCTGCTAATTTCTATCTTTTGCCTCATGTTCCTCTCAGGAAAGCACCTGTCCTTTCCTCTTACATTTCTCTTAAGATGAACTTTTTGGTCCTCTCTCTTGGCCTCAGCTACCTTCCATGATTAGCACACCCCCACTGTAAAATAAAAGGATGATAAAGCTTCCCTGTGAGCCTTCAAGACCACAGTTCCATCACAGCTTGCAGGAAAAGACTTGTGACTTTGGGACAGGTACTAAACACAACACTGTACGTACAGTTTAACTCTCCTAGTTTAAAAGCACATTTACACTATACTCAAAAACAGCTGGGAGTATCACTAGTGTTCTGCAAACAGTTAAGCCCTATTTTAAGTGTACCAGTGAATTATAATTTGGTTAGAGGGTTAATACAATAAACTACTGTCAAAAGGGTCTGTTTATTCTAATCACTATATTTTTGAAGGTCAAAAGGAACCGATTAGCAAAACCCTTGGTGTGCTGATAGGTCTAGATTAATCATACTTCTTTTTTTCCACCAGTTTCCTCTCGTACAAAATTTCACTTCTCCTCCAACCACTGTAGATTTTATTTTACATCTACAAAATGAAAAGATGATTATCAGAGCGAGGGCAGCGTGGTGGCACATTTGTGAGCATTGCTGCCTCTCTTTGCTGGGGTCCTGGGCTCAATACCTGGAGTGTTATCTGTGTGGAGCTTGTATGTTCTCCCCATGTTCACATGGGTTTCCTCTGTGTGCTTTGGTTTCTTCCTACAGTCCAAAGGCCTGCTGGTAGTTTAACTGGCCCTGGTGCGAGTGTGTGCCCTGAAATGCACTAGTCCAGGATGATAGTCTCTGGCTGCCCTAGAACCCCGTATTGGATAAAGTGGTTAGAAAATGAATGGATGGAGTCTTTAAATATTACTATTATTCTTCTTTTAGGTGAGGACTCCCTCAGAGAAGCAATTTTCTAGTCCGTTTGTTCAGGTCAGTCTATTCACGGCCCTCATGAACATAGTTTCAAACTGTTCAGTGTCTTCTCAAGGAAGGCTCTAAATAAAGGGAAGCAGGCTTTGATTTTTTAGATGATCTCCTTGTATATTTGAGCCAGTGAGTAATCAGCAATGAGTTGTCATTATTAAAGAGGGAGGAGGCAGTGGCAATAGGAGAAGAGCACAATTGTAAATATAGGCTTGGCAGTTGCACTGTGGGAGAAAGGAGAAGCAGGCAAGCCTCCTGGGGCGTTATCAGGCGGAAGCAGCGTGGGGGTCTGTGCGTCTCCTGCGCTCTAGTTTAGGGAAGAAGTGCAATGAGCCCCAGCATGTGAGGCTGAGTAACGGGCAACTGGCCGTCATCAGCAGGAAGTGCAGGGCTGTGCTTCCACTTAACCCTTTCCTCCTCAACACACTGT